AGTAGTCGTCAACCACCAACAGGAAGTAACGCTCGTGACCCTGGCCACGGACGCGGGCGGGGCCCCACACGTCCATGTGAAGAGTCTGCAGGGGAGCCTCTGTCGGAGGAAACTCGGAGGAGTGAGGGGCGGCGCGCTGCCGCCCTTCGACGCAGGGAACGCAGGTAGGGGCAGGCCCCAGAGGGAGGGGAGGGAGGGACCGGGGGAGACCAGAGACAAGGTAACGAGGCAGGGAGGGGTGACCAAGGCGGTGGTGCCAGAGGAGAGTCCGGTGGGACAGGAGACGACACGAGCAGGGAGCAGACTCAGGACCAGACCTGGACGCTGCAGCAAACACCTGACCCGACGCAGCTACCTGACCAGACTCAGCAACCGGAGGAGACTCAGTAGTTAGTGTGTACAGGCTCGACCCCGGCTGACGGGTAAACGTGGCCAAGTGTCGGCCCGTCCGAGCACACGTACAGTGGGTCACCTGCTGACTCGCAGGAGTGAACTGGTCAACCCCCCCATCCTGTAGATCAGCACCACTCACCAAGTTCGTAGAGAACGAGGGGAGGTAGAGACCGGACAGGGTGCCAGAGGGGGCCGTCGGACACGGTAAGACAGTGGAGAAGTGGGCAAGGACAGGACCCCCAGAGGGGTCCGCCAGGGAGACCGCAACTGGCTGACTAAGCGGCATGAGTGTGGTGCGGTCTCGAAAGAAGGAGCGGGAAGCACCCGAGTCAAGGGTGAAGGTGTGTAAGGCCTGAGCCGACGTGGTACCTGAGAGAGCAGACTCACCAGCACCTGGGGCAGCAGACTCACCAGTACCTGGAGCAGCAGACGCACTAGCACCTAGAGCAGCAGCTTCACCAGTACCTAGAGCAGCAGTCTCAATGCCCGGGTCAGGCGGAACACACAGGTAACAGTCACCCTCATCACTAGTAGGCAATGCATACATGGCAGTGAGGATAGCATCATAGTCAAGAGTATAGATATCTACCCTCAGCCTAAGCAGCTCCACCCAGTTGGGGAGCTCAGCCGCGTCGCCAAACTCCGTACGCCAGGCGTCGCTCAGACGGGCGAAGCAGCGGGACTCTGCGTGACCAAACGTCCCGCAAGGCTGACCAGTCCGAGCACCAGTGCGAATGACGTACGGACAGCGAGCAGTACCCCGTGACCCGTCACGCTGAGCGTACCACTCACGAATCTGCTGGGGCGAAAGGACCGCGCATGGACGACGCTGCAGCTGCACCTGGCCACTACAAGAAGCTGCCGAACTACTCACTCCAGGACGACTCCCACTACAGCCACCCCGACAACCCCAAGTAGCGTACCACTCACGAAGCTGCTCGGGCGTGAGGGACTCACGCGGACGTCGCTGGAGCTGCATCTGGCCACCGCCAGGAGCAGCAGGAGCAGTGGTAGCCGCAGTAGCTGCAGAAGTAGCAATAGCAGTAGTCGCAGCGCGGCCACCCCTACAACCCCAACTAGCGTACCACTCACGAAGCTGTTGGGGGGCGAGGGACTCACGCGGACGGCGCTGGAGCTGCATCTGGCCACGCCAGGAGCAGCAGTAGCAGTAGAAAGAGCAGTAGCAGCAAGAGCAGCAGTAACAGCCGTACGGGCAGGGCAGTGCTCACCAGAGGCGAGAAGGGCAGGCGTACGACGGCGGCAATGGCGAGGCCGCTACCACTGTAGGGCGAGGGCTCCGCGGCAGCTGCAGGGGCGGCTGTTCCAGGGGCGGCTGCTGCAGGGGCTGCTACTCCAGGGGCGGCTGCTCCAAGGGCGGCTGCTGCAGGGGCGGCTGCTCCAGGGACGGCTGCTGCAGTGGCTGCTGCTCCAGGGGCGGCTGCTGCAGGGGCGGCTGCTCCAGGGGTGGCTGCTGCAGGGGTGGCTGCTCCAGGGGCGGCTGCTGCAGTGGCGGCTGCTCCAGGGGCGGCTGCTTCAGGGGCGGCTGGTCCAGGGGCGGCTGCTGTAGGGTTGTCTACCCCACTACAGCCTACACAGACTATAGCATATAAGTTTGACATACTGCTACAGGACTTCGGCAACGGCCTACAGCCCATCGCATACGAGTCACGAAAACTGCATCCGCCTGAGAAAAATTACCCGATACACGACCGCGAAATGCTTGCGATCGTGCACGCGTTCAAAGTGTGGCGCTGTTACTTGACCGGCGCAGACGTGACAGTACGGACAGACCATAAATCACTACAGTACCTCCGCGCACAGCCACACCTCAACCCACGACAGACTCGTTGGCTCGACTTCCTCGAGTCAAATTTTCACTACACGGTCACCTACAAAAAGGGAGCCTCGAACATCGCCGACGCACTAACCCGCCCCACTGCCCAGATCCACGCAATACTACTCGCCCAGACAAGCCCACTACTGACAGGCCTATTTACCCACGGGTACCAAACGGACCCATCCTTCACAGGAGGAAATTCGCAGTAGTTCGCAGCAGCAAGGGGAGTCTATTACGTAAAAGCCGGGACTGACCGCATTTGGGTGCCTGGGTATACACTGCTACGGGAATAACTGTTACAGGAGGCACATGACGGAGTTACCTCGGGGCATTTCGGAGTAGAAAAAACACGGCAGTAGCTGCAGCGGTATTATTACTGGCCCGAAATGTTGACCGACGTACAATGAGACGTGGCATCGTGTCCCACTTGTCAACTTATGAAATCATCAAGGCAGCGGCCGGCAGGACAGTTGCAGCCGATACCTCCTCCAGAGCGTGCTTGGCAGCACGTGACGATGGAATTCGTCACGGGGTTACCAACCGGGGCGAGTGGGAACGACGCGATCCTGGTCGTCGTCGATCGACTGACGAAAATGGCACATTTCGCAGCCTGCAAAAAATCAATCACAGCCGAAGAAACAGCACGACTCTTCATCTCCACCGTCGTTCGAGTACACGGGATACCAGCAGCAATAATCAGCGACCGTGACACGAAATTCACCAGCAACTTCTGGCGGAACCTGTGGCAGCAGTTCGGCACGCGACTGCAGTTCAGTTCATCATACCACCCCGAAACCGACGGACAGACAGAACGGATAAATCAGACAATGGAACAGCTCATCAGGGCCACGTTCGACGACCCGACCACGTGGGAACAGCAACTGCCACTCATCGAATTCGCGTACAACAGCTCGCCATCCGCCATGACCCATTTTACCTAAACTACGGACAAGACCCGACAGTACCCATGACCCCGAATCCCGACAACCCAGTGCCACGAGCACAACAGTTCGCCGAAATATTACAAGCAGCACGGACCCGGGCAGCAGATGCAATAAAAAAATCCAACATCATCGCTAAACGTAACGCCGACCGCCACCGCAGGCCTGTCACTTACCAACCCGACGACCTGGTTTTACTTGACACCCAGAACCTCCGCCTTCCCATCGCCCCAAAACTCCGCCCCCGATACTGTGGACCATTTCGCATCAGCCACATGATCACACCCGTCACCGCCCACCTCCTCCTCCCTGCTGACTGGTACGTCAGCCCCTCATTCCACGTCAGCCTGCTTCGCCCTTACGTCCCGTCCACAAGCCAACTACCACGCACTCGCCCAGCCAGCATGACACGACCGCCAACTGAACCAATCATCACCCCCGAAAAAATCCTGAGCCACCGAGTTCGTGACCCTCGAGGAGCCCGAAGGATTGAATTCCTGATCCGCTGGAAAGACCGTACACCCACCGAAGACAACTGGGTTCCCCTGGACAGAATCGAAAACCACCCCGTCCTCACCGAGTACCTGCGCAGCCGAAACTTCAGGGATGTACACGCACTTTCGTAAGGAGGACCTCCTTAGGGGGGGGGGTAGTGTAAGGAAAATTCCTTTTCCTTACTTCGCGTCCCCGCTCAACGCGTACACCACTGTAGCCCCACAGTCAGCACCGTTACCACTCGCAACTCTCGCATCGACAATCCTCCCGCCACCTTCGCACGTCGCACCCCGACCTCACGGCTCGGCGGGTAACCCGCGCTCCGGGCCTCCGCCTCGACATTTTTCCCAACCTCAGTCCCAGGCCCGTCACGCGACAACCACAGTCCATTACCGTTACCACTATAGTTTCGTTATATATTCTTTGCTCATGCCTTCGCTCATTTGTACTTTTACTTCGATAGTGCAATTCTCGCTCGCTGACTCAATTGCACTCGTAACACTTTCTAAAATCTGCCCGTTCATCGAATATTTAGAGCGTGGAACATCCTTGTGAACAAGTGTCCCGTCGGCTCTCTGGTCGAACATTTGTCTCGTCAATGGTTTTCGTCAGGTAACACGCATAACCCCATATCCCAAGTTGGAAACACTTGGTCGCCCAGAAATACGGAGTCGCAATGATACACGAAAGCGCCTGCTTCGTCAAACACCGTGCTGCAAATTGGGTCGCAGCACGTCACTCACGACAACACCTGGTTTCATTTCGCATGTTTTTCCTGACGCCGCCACTTCTTGTCTTATCTGCGAGGTTCAACGGGTGGGGCGACCAACAAGCATAAGCTGTGGAACGTGCGTTCTTCGAACAGTCTGCTTCGTAGGTCAATGGCGATGGTCGCAACAATGATTACTGTCGCTGTTGGGCGACCATCGCTCTGTTCAAAAGGATGTTCCACACTCTTAAATTACACGCGATTCGGTTGGAGTTGAGGGGATAGTGTAGGCAGACCCAACCCAACCCAAATCATGCCTTGCTCGCTACCTCTCTTTCCGCTACCCGCCCTTCTCACCCGCGGCACCAGCATTCCTGGTCTATCCATGGTTTTCATTCCTAATTGAAGCAGCTTTTCGGAGTACTAGCCATCCAAGCAGCATTCCAGCATGACACACTTCAGTACTCTACTTAGACGCATACATCTGCAAACAAACCAAGTTGTTTGACGTTTCCCTTCCCAGCGTTGCGAAAGGCATTATCAGCTTTTTCCGAAGTGAAGTTGTTTCCTTCTTCAAGTTTGGAGTTACTGTGCGTCATTTTCCAGCACTCGACCTTGTCGAAATATGTCGACGGAAGCGCGGGATATGGAGGTGCGGCTGGTGAACGGCATGGTTATGACAGTGAAGATGGAAGAGACGGCAGGATGCGTGGGCGAACGCGTGGCGACGTTGGAGGCGAAGCTGAGGGAGCAGGGCGACGCCATGGCTGCCATGCAGCGCGACATGGCCGACATGCACCGCGCCATGGCCCTCCTCAAGGGGATGGGGGCGACTGGGGCTTTAGGGGAGAAGAGTGCAGGGGAATGGGCGGGAAACGGGAGCGACTCAAGGGAGGCAGCGGAGGGCATTGGCGCGCAACCTATGAAAGGCGCGCGGGATTTTTTTTTTGTTGCGACTGAAGTGGGGGAGGTGAAGGCACAGGTGGAAGCGGTGAGGGGGGAGGCGCGGGACGCGGCGAGTGAGATGCGCGGGGAGATTGGCGCGGTGAAGGCGGAGCTTGCGCGGGTGAGGGCTGCGGCGGAGCGGCAGGCGGCGGAGGTGGCGTACGTGAAAGCGACGGCGGCGCACTCGAAGGCGCGCATCAACGACGTCGAGCTGGCGCTCGCCGCCATCAAGGAGAGGCCCGCGGAAAAGAGCTGCGCCGAACGCGAGGCGGGCAGCGCAGGGGAGGATGTGGTGGAGGAGAGGCGCGAGGGGAAGAGACGGAAGAGGGAGGAGGCGGGGGAAAATGAGGGAGGGGTCGTTGCGGGCGCTGGGCTTGCTCTGGTTGCCATCGGTGGTGCGCATGTGGAAAAGAAGGATGAGGCGGAAATGAAATGCGGACCTGAGGGGGGAGAGAACGTTGCAGCGTGCGACAGTGGGGCTGAGCTGAAGGGACTGCGGACGCGAGTGGAAGAGCTGGAGGCAATGAGTGCTGTTGGAGGCAAGACGTGGGAGGTGATTGTTCAATTCATTGTTGTTGTTGTCGTTAGTTTTTCATTCTTATTTGAATCTTACCTTGTTCTGAACGTTTTTATCTGTGCCTGGATTGGCCCCACTACTAGCACCTGAAGTATGTGTGGCACGCCTGCGTGCATGCGTAGCCTAATCGTTGGAAAAAAACTTAACGTGTACACAACCATAGCTCTCTGTATCTCGTGCTCATGCCAATCCCTCTCCCTGTTGAGCCTTACTGCCGTGCCCTCTCCCTGTTCGTGGCTGCAGGTTATGATGATGCTATGGAGAGAAGCGGTTCCCAACGAGACTGACGTGAAGCTCCATGGCGTTCCATGCATCACGGATGCCGCTCTCACAGAACTCGCCAGCTTCCCTTCTCTCACAACAAACAAGGCTAGATAACTGCACTACAGACCATAAACAATTATATATGATATCTCAAACATATAGTGACACGCCCCCATATTTGTTTGCAGTCATAATTGTAGTAACGCCCCCTTACGGGGTGCATCATGTAGAGTGCAGCGGAAGTAGCGGATGGCAGATCAGCAGGAGGCGGCTGACGCTATAGCTGGACTCACACAACCCCTCAACCTCCCCCCCCCACAGCAGCAGCAGTGAGAAAAGAGGGGAGGAGGCGTGGCAGCAGTTGCTGAAGTTGAATCACCCTCTTCCCCCTCCCCCCCCCCCCCCCACCCTCCCCCCCCAACCCAACTGCTGCACGCGCAGCAAGGAGACGGAGAAGGATGGCGCTGTAGGTGCAGCCTCCCCTTCACACCCTCCTCCCACCCATCTACTGCACGCGCAGCAAGGAGAGGGAGGAGAAAAGAGGGGGGGCGGGGTAGGGGCTGCTCCGCGGCTGCAGATGCGCGTGAAGTGGGGAGCAGCCGCGCGCACCGCAGTCGTCACGCACCGCAGCAGGGCGTCCACGCATGGTGCGCAGGGCAGCAGGGCGCTCGGGGCGCGCAGGACAGCAGGGCGTGCGGGGCGCACAGGCCAGAAACCGACGCGCGCCCGAGGCGCGTGACGGGCAGGAACCGACGCGCGCCCGGGGCGCGCGATCGGCAGGAACCGACGCGCGCTTGAGGCGCGCGACGGGTAAGAACCGACGCGCGCGCGCGACGGGCAACGTGACGAGCAGGGGCGCTACATAACGGACAGCGCGACGGTGGGCCCATTGAAATCATGAAGGATGTCCTTAGGAACTTCCGGCTCTGATACCATGTCGAAATAGTAGCATAACTCACACCTTAGTGGCCTAGGGTTTAGCTAGGAAGGTAGAGTTTTGAGAGAGTGGTTTGGCAAAAGAGGTTCGATAAAAGGGCAAAAGGCCAAAGTTATACAAGAAACAATGCAAGAGGGTGGTGCGCCACAAACAAGGCTAGATAACTGCACTACAAACCACAAACAACTACAAAAAATATGACTAACATATTTTGACCCCTTTTCTGTATACAACAGTTGTTATGCTATTGTGAGTCAATTTTTACTGGCACAAATTCGAATCCTGACACGTTTTTTGTGTCAGACTCAAATTCAGACACTTGAATTGTGTCAGACTCTAATTCTGATGTAGATTTGATGCGCCGCGCGCGTGAAATTTGCACACGAAGGCTTTAATTTGTTATGAATATAAGAACCCCCTCCCCCTCCCCTCCCCCCCCCCTCCCCTGTCAAGAATGAAAGTGTTGGTTTGACTAAGGTTGGTTGGGGTACATAAACCTAACCCTTACAATTGTACCCCCTATAACACACATCACTAAGACTACAACATTTGACACACCCCATAGTCTAAGTGAGGGGTGTCAAGCAAAACCAAAAGTGTACGGTCATAAGACCGGTCACAAAGAAACAAAGCTCAGGGTGGATCACAAAGTCACCACACACTCCGAGCACAAGCAATAGAGCCCCACGGCTAGTTCATGAGTTCACAGAGGTATACGTAAAATATACAAACAAAGCACGGAGAGAACTCAAGACTATGCAAGGCGAGAACCTGTGTCAACGAATCCTAACTGCACACAACACCTCTGGTGGTCACAAGGCGCCAGGGCCTTGGTGAAGATATCTGCAGTGTTGGCCTTGGACTCAACAAAGTCGAAGCGAGCATGTCCACGCCTCTGCAACTCTCGCAGAAGAAAGTACTTGGCGTTAATGTGCTTCACTCTTCTCTCCAGTCGCGGCTCTCGACAGAGGAAAATCGTCGCCTTGTTATCAGTGAACAAGGTTGGCGCAGAGCTCGGCCGCTCACCAAGGTCAGTGAGCAAGAACGTCAGCTAGCGCAGCTCCTGTGCAGCCATAGCTCCAGCGTAGATCTCGGCCTCAGTAGTAGAGGTCGAGATCGAGGAGGAGCGTGCGAACCTCCACGAAACAGCTCCGGAGCCCAGGCTGAAACAGTACCCCTGAGTAGACCTGTGCGTCTCGTCGTCCTCAGCGTAAGAAGAGTCACAGTGACCAGTAAGCACGACGTCCTGTCTCCCTCCAAGAACCAGCCCCACGTTTGATGTCGTTTGTAGGTACTTCGCCACCCTCACAGCAGTTGTCTAGTGAACTGGACGGTGTCTCCCTGGCGCAACAAAGCGATCAAGGATGCCGAGAGGGAAGGCGAGGTCGGGGCGAATACAAGTCATTAGGTACATGAGGCAGCCCACAAGCTCTGCGTAAGGACCACTAGGCTCGAACGGCTCGTCAGGAAAGGGTCCGGCGAGTCTCTGGTCAACGGCAAGAGGTGTGCGTGGTACAATGGAGTGCTGAAGGACTTGCTCCACGATGTGTGACTGTAAGAGTGTAATGGTGCGAGCAGCTCTGTCCCTGATGATTTGCAGGCCAAGGTAGTGGTGCAGCTCACCAAGGTCAGTGCAAGTGTGTCTCTTATGAGGTTCAAGCTTCACGTCAGCCAAAGCAACCCTGTCAGTAGTGGCGAAAACCAATTCATCGACGTAGACCAGTACAAAGGACGGTGTGGAACCACGACGAACGAACATCGACGAGTTGGCAGAAGAAGGTTGGAAACCAAGGTCAGAAAGGGTAGAGCAAAGGGAGTCGTGCTACTCACGAGGAGCTTGACGGAGACCGTAGACTGGTCGCCTAAGCCTCCACTGGGTCCAGTGAAGGCTGAGGGACGACGCAACGAGACCTCCTCGTGTAGGCTACCCTGAAGGAAAGCAGTGGAGAAGTCAAGAGAGTGTAACTTGTAGCCTCTCTGTGCTTCAACGTGCAGTAACACCCGAAGAGTGGTCATCTTTGGGGTAGGCGCGAAGGTTTGAAAGAAGTCAACTCCCTCGCACTGACTGAAACCTCTGGCCACATAGCACGCCTTGAAGACCGGAGGAGATCCAGGTGGCCGCTTCACCATAAAGATCTATATGCCATCGACTACGTTCGCCCCAGGGGGGGGGAACCTCGTCAACGTAGGTGCCTGTGGGTTTGTAGGAGGCCATCTCTGAGTCCATGGCAGCTCTCCACTGAGAGGCCCAAGGCCCTGACACTGCCTCAGCGTAAGTGCGAGGAGTCGGTATGTCAAGGGCGTCGGGGTCTCCCTCAGGGGCGAGCAGCATGGCACAGAGATAAGGGGAAGCGGCTCCCAGGAACTCTAGCTCAAACTGCCTGTCCTCTAGGGCGTCACAGCCAAGGGCAAACTCACCCTCGGCGGCCAGAGGACTGGTAGGAGGAGAAACCACAAGACTGGTGGCGTAGTCAAGGTGGCGAGTGGAGGCAAGCTGACTGACTGTGGTAGTAAGAGCGGAGAAAGAGGACAGAGAAGCACGTGGGTCGGTAACAAGAGAGGCGAGAACACGTGAGAGAACAGGACTGTACGTGCGGTAGTAGTCTGTGACAGGAGTAGAGAGGGAAGCAGTGAGAGCCGACTCAGGAGGAGAAGGAAGTATTGAAGGAGAGGAACAAGGCGGACTAGAAAGAAACATGGCAGTACGAAGGTCAGTGAAGGGAACATGGGACGAGGGACGAGCACGAGGAGAGCGACGCGAAGGCCAAGTGTGAGAAAGAGGAGGGGACAACCGGGGCAGAGGAGGAGGGAAAACAGCTGAGGAGGGGTCAGGAGGAGGAAGCGGAGGACCAGAGACGGGAGGAGAGGGGGAGGAGGGAGGAGAGGGAGAGGGGAGACCGAGGGTCCGAAGACCAGAGACAGGAGGAGGAGGTGGCGGCTGCTGCTGCTCCTGCTGCGTCTGCGACCGCTGCACCTCCAACTGCGGCGGCTGTTGCTGCTCCTGCTGCTGCGACTGCTACTGCGGCTGCTCCTACTCCGGCTGCTGCTGCTGCTGCTGCTGCTCCTCCTCCTCCTCCAGCCGCTGTAGCTCTTGCTGCTGCCGCTCCAACTCTCTCTTCTCTCGCTCCAACTCCAACTGCTCCTCACGGGCACGGCGAACACGGGCCTGGTGCTAGGTCGGGTAGGGGTGGGCGGGAGGAGTAGTGTCCGGAGTGATGGTAGCCCCAGAACCACTCTCCAAAGAACCAGTCGTAGCACCCCCAGAGCCAGCACCAACAGAAGTAACAGGTCCGGCCCAGGCTCTCCAGGTCCAGCAGAGGGTGCACCCCCAGTCGTAGCACCCCCAGGGACAGCTCCACTAACACCAGCTCCCCGAGTCTCTTGCAATCACGAGCTCAGCTCCAACTCTAGCATCCCCGGAACCAGGACCTTGCACAGGTACGCTCTCTTCTCCAACTCCAGCACCTCTAGAGCTAGCACCTCCAAGGACCTCGCCACAAAAACCGGCTCCCGCAAGGTCTGCTGTAGGCTAGGAGGAGGACTGCGGGAAAGGAGGCTGCACCTGAGGGGTAGCGTGGGACACACTTGACTGGGCGGGACCAGGGGGGAGGGCTGTATTGGGGGAGCAGGAGGGGGAGGAGGAACCGGGAGACCTCGACAGGGGTACCTGACGTAGTAGGGTACGGACTCGTCGAAATGAATGTCACGAGAGTCAAAGAACCGGTTAAGGGGAGGGTGTAAAAAGGTGTAGTCAGAGGAGTCCTCAAGGAAACCAAGAAAAACGCAGGAATAGCGCGAGGCGAGATCTTGTCCGCGGTGGTGTCGCGAACAAGTGCCAAGCAACCCCAGACACGAAAACGCAACGCAACACCAGGGGACCCGGTCCAAAGACTGGTCGGTGAAACCTCTGGCCGAGAGACACGTGGCCAGAGGTTCAGCTGGTGAGCAGCGTACCAAACCGCATAGGACCACAGAAAATGGGGGGGCACGGGCGTGAGTCATGGAGGTGCGGGCGATCTCCATGACCAAGCCTATGCGGCGGTCAGCAACCCCATTCTGCTGTGGGGACTCTGGAAGCGTCCAAGACTAACGGATGCCCTCCTCACGACAGAATCCAGCAAGAACGCCAGAGCGACACTCACCCCCGCGGTCGGAGTGAAGACAGCTGACACGACGA